GTATCCTGTAAGTACACTTGTGCCAAAAAAATTGCATGCACACAACCGCATCCAAAACAAAATTCACCCACATTAAGCGGAAAAAAAATCATATTACATGGAGAAAAGATATCATGCATACACAGTCATCTTGAGAAAAAAAGTTTCTTAGCGCATGAAAGGGTTTAAAAGATTGTGCCCGTACCACATCACTCCCCCATCAAAAGTCAAATGGTCCACCCTTATCAGGTTCAGGGCCAAGGAATGCAATTTTGGAGGGAGAGAGAGAGGAGAGAGTAAGTGAGCAGGTACCTTATGAATCCCTTGCCCCATCCCCAGGCTAAAAGGGAATAAAATACCAACAACAGTCAAGAGGACAAAGAAACAAAATAGTTACAAAGAAACATGGAACAACTACAGTGACATAACTAACAATGTCAAACATGTGCGTTGGGGCTAATTACCACTATGCAAACCATACAAACCCATCAAAATTATTGTGGGGCTCTCTGTGATAATCCCCAGTGCCTTGTTCTAAAGGAAAGACAAAGAATTAAAAGTTAAAAGTTTCTTCAGTTTGCTGAGAGGGATGTCTGATCACTCAGCCTCATATATCTGTTATTTTTGGTTCCACAGACTCGGAAACTGTACGGCTGCCTTATGAAGTAAGTCAAATACTTTAAGTTTTGTGAAAAACACTATGTCACAGATTTTTGTTTTTAATATGACAGAGTATAAAAATGTACATACCATATACATATCAAACACATGCAATGGATTGATATGTTTGTTTGATTCTTTGATAAACAGGAGTCTGAATTCTTGGATTACCTTGATGCACAAGAGGTACAATGAGAAGTGATTTTTATAATTTCAGTTATGTAGAACTCATCCTGGCAGCCACCATGTTAACACAACCACCTACACTGTAGTTTTTACAGCCACTTTTATTGGTCCAATTGGAGACCTCTGTCAGTCTTTTTTCTTTATTTAATTAAGATATCCTCTACATGTAAGTTAGTCACCCCCATATGATGTTTTCTGTAATAAACTAAATATACTAAGTCTTTTTAATTACCAATGTAATATGATTTGCTGCACTGAACCAACTTTCCATTACCCATTGACCACTGTCTGTTGTCGTTCCATTTCCCACCCACCCCCCATTTTCTACCTCCATTTTACATTCATACCAGCTTGGGACAGACAGAAAGAAGATTTGAGACCTTGTTACTCTTTAGATCAGAGCACTTTTGTTTTGTTCTATTCTTGTGAGTGTTTGTAAGACTGTAATTTGTAGATCTTTTCAGTTGGCTATTTTCACTAGTGGCAAGTTCTTTTCATAAGTTGTTACATTTTCATTTTTTGTAATTTTTTTTTGAAATTGTGTTGTATGTTACCTTTTTCCAGTGAATAAATAAGATAAAGGGTTATTAAAAAAAATTACATTCAGAGTCAAAGCTCTTGTTATCCAGTGGAATTCAATGTTTTGTGCTTAGTAAGCATCCAAGTTCCTCACTACGGTGATTAAAATCCCAGGGGTCTCGAACATTACAGAAATGGAGGTGATCATTGAAAATGTTGAAAGGAATCTGTAAAAATAACAGTCTTGTTTTGTAAGCTTGGTTTGATCAGTTCATTGTCATGTTTAACCCCTATAGTCTGTAGGTACAATTTAATTTTCTAACCAAATTAGCTCCAGTCATGCTTTTTTCTTGACTTAACACCCCAAAGTATGTGTGGATAACTCTAATTAATGACAGAATTAAACATCCTAGAAACTATGGAATTGACACCTTGATGTTTGTTTTACGGTTTTCAGCTTCCTCCTATCCTGGTTGATCTGTTGGAAAAATCACAGGTATTGTTCAGAAATACATTTCCTATCTTCTTATTTGTCTGAAGTTAAATAAAAATAACTCTTTTCTTCTATTTTTCTTTGTTGAAATAATAAAATTTTAGAAAAAATAGAGTGGTGTTTCTGTAAAATTTTAATTGAAAAAATGTGAGTTGAATGGTTTATGAGGAGGAACAACTTTTAAGCTTAAAATTGACTGAGATAGTTAATTAATCAAAAAATTAGTTTTGTTTTTTCAGGCAATTTGAGTTTAGTGCCGTTTTGGCATTATCTCCCAATATTATTATGTTTGTCTGGTCATATGTCTAGGAGATGAGTCCAGAGGGAAAGGGCGGAAAGAGATTGTAATCTTCGGATTAGTAGGATTTCCATTATTACCAGACGTATAATTCTTCTAAGATGGATCATCTGTCTCCACTTGAATTTACATTTGCATGGATAAGAAGGTTAATGTTGCTGATGCTTTGAAATAGAGTAGACTTGATGTCGTCATGGCCCCAAAGGGCTGGAGTGAGTGTGGGAACCAGAAATATAGACAGCCA